GTGTGAAAACGACACCAAATGTAGACAGCTTTTTTGAAGACGGAGTCAAAAGCCTGGGACACCGGTGGGAAAGACAAATGCAGATTCAGCCATTGTCTGGAGTGTACTTATGTTTGAATTGACCACAGAACATGGGGTTGTAGTACTGAGGGAATGCCTATAATTATATAAACTGTCAGGAATACTAACGGCTGTCCAAAAGGCAAGTTGAATGAATTATGTTGATTGGAGCAAAAGACAAGAGTACTAACTAGAAAGGTGTGAGCCACTGCGAGGAAATCGATGCAACTCCCTATCGTGAAGAGTTGGCATGATCTGGTCCATAAGAGTACTAACTAGAAAATGCCAAGGAAGAAACAAGGGCAAAGGGGTCAAGCTTGATATAGTTTACAAGTAAATGGACTAATCCTGTTGAAATAAATGAGACGTAAGGACATAACTATGTGATGCATTGTAGCCCTGGAGCTTAGTTGTAGTATACAGTTGCATCCTGCCACACATCCATTTGCTTGAACGTTTGTAGTCCCATTTTTCCAGGACCATACACGTGCATGATGACTTTATGCTGAAGCCAGTGCTTTATGGTCGAATCTGCATTTGCATTTCGAAGAAGAAGAAGAGATTGGATATATACCCCGCCCTTCACTACCCAAAGGAGTCTCAGAGCGGCTTACAAACTCCTTTCCCTTCCCCTCCCCACCACAGACGTCCTGTGAGGTAGGTGGGGCTGAGAGAGCTCTGACAGAAACGGCTCTTTTTCAAGAACAGCTCTTATCAGAACTGTAGCTTGCCCAAGGTCATCCAGCCAGGTGCAAGTGGAGGAGTGGGGAATCAAACATGGTTCTCCCAGATTAGAGTCCGCGCACTTAACCACTACACCAAACTGGCTCTCAGTTTAAATCAGTTTCGTGCTGCTGTGACGCTGTCTTTCTCTATGCTTGTTTGAAAGTTGTTTGGAGAACATTCATTTAAAATGGTGTGGAGGTGCAATGACAGTGGAGTCACTGTGAGGGGGCAATAAACATATGCAGACATGCACAAGTATGCTAGCATTGTTGAGGTACGAAACCGAAAGCAAATGTAGACAGCTTTTTTGAAGACGGAGTCAGAAGGCTTGGACACCGGTGGGAAAGACACACGCAGATTGGACCTATTATGTGATAACGACTCCAGTGTATGCATCTCAAGAGTAGATAATTTCTCTCAGCCCTAATGTTTGCATGGTGCTGTTCACAACAGGCGTGGGTAAAGAGCTGGCCCAGTGAAAGAAGTGGTTGAGAGGGGCTGCTGTAAGGCCCCAGCACACACTGAGGCTGGCACTCTTTTGTCACAATAAAACCGACATCACAAAAAGCTCAGATTGCATCTGATAAGAGAAATTGTTGAACAGAAGAAATATATTTAGTAGGAATGCATAAGTCAACACTGAAGTTTATCTGAATACTTTTCTTTTGGGCAATGCTTTTTTCTGGGTTTTTTGTTTGTTTGTATGTTCTTAAGTGCTGGTACTCGTACGTAAGGTTGCAGCAATTTCCACTGATTTCACCCTCAGGGCTTAGAAGAACGCCCCCATCCTGAGGTGCCAGTACTCAGTACCAGTGAGTATTGTCACACACAAAATCTTTGTTTTGGGGAATTTGAGAAGCAGTCCTTGGTCAGGTCACAATACACACAAGGCTTCTTAAGAAGAAAAGTATACAGCTTGTGGCGAGGATGACCTGTAATATGATGGCCACTGACTTATAGTGTAATCATACTCCCCCCCCTCCATGAGCCCAAGCCAATGAGCACATTTCACACGTGTGGGTAGCAGAAGCAGGCAAGCAGCTAAGCGCCCAAACCGTTAAGTTTCCCAGGCAAGTTAATTTGCAGCTGGAGAAAGACAACAAGGTCAGGCCAGAGATAACAGCCAGAAGCTGGACAGGGAAGAGCTGGGAAGAAGAAGAGGTGGGTGCACCCCTCCACATTCCAGTTCTATGACGGGGCTACCTGACAGACCTGTGGGAATTAATTTCCTTTGAGAAGAGTCCTCATTTTTTAGCTTAATGCCCCAGTATCTGGGAATTATGGAGCTGCGGTGGCTCAAATGGTTAAGACGCTGAACTGCAGACTGTGGAAGGTCAGTAGTTCAGCAGTTCGAGGCCCGGGTGCCACATGATGGAGTGAGCTCCCGTCTCTAGTTCCAGCTCCTGCCAACCTAGCAGTTCGAAAGTGAGAAATTGCAAGTAGATAAATAGGGACCATTTTGGTGGGAAGGTAACAGCGTTCCGTGCGCTTTGGTGTTGAGTCATGCCGGCCACATGACCACGGAAACGTCTTCAGACAGCGCTGGCTCTTCGGCTTGGAAACGGAGATGAGCACCGCAACCCTAGAGTCGGATTCGACTGGCTTTCGAGCAAGGGAACCTTTACCTTTACCTTTACCTATCTGGGAATTACATGTCTGAGGGCAGTGCTCTGACCTTCAAGTTGCCCTCTTTTTAAAACAGAGATAGATGTGTGCTCAGCAGGTTATCTGTGTAAGCAGGAAAAATGTACATCTTCCTGTAACCTCTTCCTGGAGCCAGGTACAAGAGTTCTAAGTCTGCAAATAGGCAGCATATTTACATACTAGTGGGGACCCAACTCAGTGCCAGCAGTGGTCCTTGGAGTTTGAACAAGATTGGTACTATACATTCTGACTAGCAGCAGCAGCTCTCTGGAGTCTCAGGAAGAGGTCTTTCACATCACCTTCTACCTAATCTTTCTAACTGGAGATGCTGGGTATGGAACCTGGAACCTTGTTGAAGCAAAACAGATGCTGTACGATTGAGCCACAGCCCCTCCCTCAAGTATGATGAAGTACATTGGTTTGTTTTTTTAATTCATGTTTGCTAAGAGGGAGAGCATGAAATGAAATCATGTGGCAGGACTACTCTATAGGTGATTTCTTGTGTAATATCCCTGATTAGGACAGTGCAAACAATCACTGAAAGGCTACATGCCACACGATCCCAAATGTGTAACCTAAGGGTACCTTTTAAAATTTATTTGTACTCTTTATAGTTCACCTTTCTCATTGAGTGCCAAGGCAGATTACATAGTGAAAACAAGGAGAAATCTGTAGCAGAGCTGAAACAAAGCATAAGCATTTAAACATGAGATGTTAAACCATGCAGGAAGTACATAGTAGGAGCATCCTTGTAGCAACAGACAGGTGTTATGAGGAACTGGTTTGTGCTCATCGGCCATCCATTTTGTTATCACCTGCTGAGTTTCATATGTATAGCTCTGTCAATAATAGCGACAGTGCTGTTATATAAATGATGTCAAACTCTTTTTTTTTAAAGGCAAAGTAAAGGTAAAGGTTCCCTTGCTCGAAAGCCAGTCGAGTCCGACTCTAGGGTTGCGGTGCTCATCTCCGTTTCAAAGCCGAAGAGCCAGCGCTGTCCGAAGACGTTTCCGTGGTCATGTGGCCGGCATGACTAAACACCAAGGCGCACGGAATGCTTTTACCTTCCCACCGAAGTGGTCCCTATTTATCTACTTGCAATTTCTTGCTTTCAAACTGCTAGGTTGGCAGGAGCTGGAACTAGAGACGGGAGCTCACCCTGTCTTGCGGCCCCCGGGTCTTGAACTGCTGAACTACTGACCTTCCACAGCCTGCACTTTGATTGTGAGACAGTGCTATATCTAACCATGCAGTTCTTCTAATGGAAGAGCTGCTAATTCTGCCAATTTCTGCTTCCACAACAGATTCCCATTTTACCTCCTACGCTACTCCTGAGGGTCCACTAGAATTATTGGGAGGGGGGACTCTGTGGGCTTCAGTAGTACGGGGAAGCAACTTAGTTCCACTCTGCAGAGTCTTTGGACAATTGGACACATGCCCGTGTTACCATGATCCATCACTGCTGGAGAACAGTGACATATATACCATGAACACACTTTATTACCACTGATATTCTGTCAATAGTGGCATTGACTTTTATAGAACAGCATATTTATGGCCACTGCATCTGCTGTTCATCACATGCCAACAATGGTGTTTTTACCATTTTGTCTCAGGAAAGCCTCCTGATATACAAATGATGTCACAATTATCAGTGGATATAAAATAGTGAAATTGCAGCTTTTTATAATACTGGTTATATTTGATTGCCTGTTTGAGAACATTGGTCAGTCTCCTTTTTCTATACAGCTTGCTTCAGCTGTTTGCCTCTCCTGAGTCTGTGTTTGTGATCTGTGTTGGGAGGAGAGTCGTGGAAATGTGTCTCCAGGGTTAATTCACTCCTTACAACCTAGATATGCTGGCTCATTTCTTGACTTGCTCAAGAACTGATTGAATTAACCTGTGCTTTCCCTAGTTATCCATCCATACAACTGCAGTAATACATTTTGAAAGTCTTGTATATTTTGTAAATCTATGAGACAATCGCTTTCTCCGTTTTCTTTCTGCTTGATGACTTCTGTAATACAGATCTGGAATAGACTCAGCTCCTTTGTCAGGCTCCTTAGGCAGGTCACACCACACAGGGCTTCATAAGAAGATAACTGTTTATTAGTGGATCCAGTACTAAAGAACACGTGTACAGCTTGTGTCAGGAATGGCCGTCAGTACTAGGGCCTCTGACTTATAATGAAATCAAACATTCCCCCTGTAAGCATGAGCCAATGGATATAATTCGTGTGCGTGGCAAAGCAAGCGGGCATAGCAGAAAAGCCGTTAACTTTCCCAGCCGTAGAAACGGCAGCTGGAACATCTACAAGGTCAGGCATAAGATAGCACACAGTAGCTGAGCAGGATAGAGCTGAGAATGAGAGGGAGGTACCCCTCCACATTTCAGAACTATGACAGGGCTACCTGACATCAGGCCTGTGACCTATTTGAGTATGGACCGCATGGAGGATGATTCTGCCCTGCTCCCTGTGGAAGTGTGAGCTTGATCATGAGTGATGGGAGTAGTTGCAGTCTAACTGTTGTGCTTAACCTCTAACTTATTTCTCTGTTGCTCTCTTCAGCCTTTGATATATCCTGTGTGGACCCAGATCGCTTTTACGATTACATTGTGTGGACCCAGCAAGAGGTGGTTAATAATTTGTTTTGCCCGCTGGATAAGCAGAGTCTCAAAATACTTCAAACTACCTCAGCCTTTAATGTTGATTGGAGCAAAGACTGTCAACCACTTAACCTCAGTGCTTCAGGACGCCTACACAGCACGCTGCACAACACAACACCCTATCTCTCCTTTAAGCACCCAGAGGCTGAGGATTCAGGCAATCACACCTGCACACTCTACTTGAATGAACAGAGAAACGCCTCCTTCACTATTCGACTGGTCATGGCAGGTGGGTAAAAGAAGTGGGGGAGTTAACTGCCATTTTAATTCTGAAGCAAAAACCTTGCACTTTTCCCTCCTCTGATACAAGTGTTTCTAGATAGGTCCTTTCCCTACTGGTCTGGCTTAGTAGTCAGACAACGAAAGTCATGAAATATCTAAACATGAAGAGAAGGTTTTTTTTCTTTCTGTAAAATATCAATTCACATGCTCCAAAAAATTATGGGTCTTGGTTATCTGAGCTAGTTCATCCAGTTGTATGGTTCAGACGCTGCTCTTCCAGTATTTGGTAAGGTTGTGTCTACAGCCAAAACTGTTTAGTACAGTTGTTGTGTGGCTGTCGCCAGAAACTGATTTTTGCACTACTTCCTCCTATCTGACCTGGGAAGGTTCAGCAAGGTAAAATGTGCAACATGATGTCATTGTGCTTTGTGATTTTTCTGCCACCACTGTGTTTCATTGGCTGCCACATTTGGGGCTGGAGAAACTAGCCGTGCAATGACATCACGTCACTTTTATTTTTCCGTACTGTCTGCTGTAACATACAAATTCCACCCTTTCTTTGCTGCAGTGAGCAAATTGTGGAAGTAGATGTCCATCTGCCTATGAGAGAATGGTAGACGTTTAGTTCTCTGTGTGTGTCTGTTCCCGTTGCACATGTTGGGCTTAGTCCTGATTAAATTTCACAATGACAGAATGGAACTTCCCCACATCCCTTCTCCCACTGCAGCCCACTGATCTCTACAGAATGCTCTTCCTGGGGGAACAGGGGACCTTGAGGAGTGCTATGAGAGGGCTCGGCAGCAGGAAGGGAGGAAACTGGCCAAAACTGCTAATTTGGTTTGAATCCGATCCCCTAATATCATGCGAAAGAACAGCAAATACAGTTGTAAGAGCAGGATGAAGTCAAATCGATACAATTCAGTGCAAATTGACCCCCCCCCCCCGCGCACACTAGATTCTCCTGTGGAGGCACAACTTAGGCGCAAAAGAAGGCTTCAGAGTTTACTAACTAGCAGGGGTCATTTCCTGTGGGAGTGCACAGGAGCAGAGCTCCGGCAGTAAGGAGCTCAGGGGGCGGGCACATGCAACAAGCCCCGCCCCCTGCTCCCAGCAGCCCTCAGTCAGGCCACGAGGAGCAAGAAACAGACAGGTAAGTTGCAGAGCCCCCTTCCCCGGCCTGCCTTCAGGTGCAAGCTCTCCCTCCTCTGCGAGGGCAGATCTGCACATTCCCCCCCCCCCCAATAGCTAGCAATCCAAAACAGCCCAGTGGAGCCTGAGCAGTGGGTGTTGCCTCCTGACACACTTCTGGTAATGTCAGGGGGTGTGGCATATGCAAATAAGTTATGCTAATGAGTTGTGCTAATGAGCTCCTGCACCTCTTTTTCTACTAAATGACCCCTGCTAACTAGTAACGATGAGTGGTGGGGCTTGAAATGTGAGAAAAGGTGTCTTGAGGGGGCTGAAAAGAATGCAAATAACTATTATCCCCCCTGCTCCATGTAAATACATGATTCAGAATAGCTGTGCTTGATATTTACTGTGCATGTTGTTCTGGGTTTTGTTTTTTAAATATGCTGCTCCTTATAACTTTATAAATTACTTGCGGTAACGTTTAACAGTAGCTGTGAGCTGTCAGATTTTAAAAAGTGAAATAAATAGAATAGACAAGAGCGAAACCGGAGAAAATATCTTTTATTTTCAATTTGGTATTAGAGAAGAGAAGAGATTGGATTTATACCCCGCCCTTCACTCGGCATCTCAGAGTGGCTCACTACCCTTCACTACCCAAAGGTGTCTCAGAGCGGCTTACAAACTCCTTTCCCTTCCCCTCCCCACAACAGACACCCTGTGAGGTAGGTGGGGCTGAGAGAGCTCTGACAGAAACTGCTCTTTTTCAAGAACAGCTCTTATCAGAACTACGGCTTGCCCAAGGTCATCCAGCCAGGTGCAAGTGGAGGAGTGGGGAATCAAACCCGGTTCTCCCAGATTAGAGTCCACTTAACCACGACACCAAACTGGAGTATAATGTAGCAGTTGGGAACAGATAAGTATGCTGTCCCTTCTACTTTATTATCTTATATGGCACATTTAAACTACAAACTGTGAGATTGTAAATCGTGAACGAACATTTTATTATAGTGTTAGCAACATGAATCAGCCTAAAGTGGTCTGAGGCAGTCCATTGTGAGATTCCTTTAAAAAAAAACCCCACCTTTGTTTTGCTAAGATGCTTTTTTAAAGATTCTGAATGTTGTCCTGGCTCAGCTAAAGATTGGATGTGGGTCCCACAGAGACGTTGGGGAGGCCCTACCAATACATACCTTGTAGAGTTCACATTTTCAAAAACTGTGAGCTGATTGAAGTCGTGGGTAACAGTGAGAGTATCGAACTAGGATCCGGGAGACCCAGGTGCAAATTCCCATTCTGCCATGAAACTTGTTGGCTATTTGCATAAAAGTAAAGGTAAAGGGTTCCCTTGCTCAAAAGCCAGGCGAGTCCGACTCTAGGGTTGCGGTGCTCATCTCCTTTTCCAAGCCGAAGAGCCAGCGCTGTCCGAAGACGTTTCCGTGGTCATGTGGCCGGCATGACTAAACACCGAGGCACATGGAACGCTGTTCCCTTCCCACCGAAGTGGTCCCTATTTATCTACTTGCAATTTCTTGCTTTCGAACTGCTAGATTGGCAGGAGCCGGAACTAGAGATGGGAGCTCATTCCGTCATGCGGCACTCGGGTCTCGAACTGCTGAACTACTGACCTTCCACAGCCTGCAGTTCAGCATCTTAACCACTTGAGCCACCGCAGCTCCATGCAGCTATTTGCATACTTTCCGCCTAACCTTCCTTACAGGGTGTTTGTGAGGATGAAATTTTACTTATTTATTTATTTATTCCTTTGTCTTATATCCTGCCCTCCCCTGCCGAAGCAGGCTCAGGGCGGCTTACATAAAATTTTAAAAACATAAAACAACACAAAATTAAAATCACCGTTAATCATGACAATTAGAGCCATTCTAAAGTGCTGAGGTGCTAGAGCTAATCTTAATAGTAGTGCAATTGCAATAGCGGACGCAACAGAAGATGTTAGGAGTAGTCATCAGGGAATGAACATAGTTGTAATTCAGCTTATTCCATCCAATTTTGCTGGCAACTTAAACTGCTGGTAATAAATTCAGGGGGTCGACCCAGCTAGGCTTGCCAAGTCCCCCCGGGGGGCGGGGAAACCCCCGCCCCAGAGGCCCGTTCCCTGCCGCCGGTGGATCGGGCCCCCGGGGGGAACCCCACCCCGACATCCACGTCACTCGGAAGTGACGCTACCACGCCGGGGGCAGGGGCAACCCTAGGCCCAACAGTTGTTAAGTGTGGCTTCTAATTAAAAGCCTGGTGGAAGAGCTCCATCTTGAAGGCCCTGTGGAACTGTAAAAGGTCCCGCAGGGCCCTGATGTCTTCTGGGAGCTCGTTCCACCAGTATGGAGCTGCCACCGAGAAGGCCCTGGCACTGGTTGAGGCCAGACTGGTGTCTTTAGGGCCGGGGAGGGTCAGATGATTTTGAGACCCTGAATGCAGTGCCCTCTGGGGAACATGTGGAGAAAGGCGGTCCCTCAGGTTTGCAGGTCCCTGACCATATAGGGCTTTAAAAGGTGAGAAGCAGTAATTTGAAGCGAATTCGGTATGTTATCGGTAGCCAGTGCAATGCTTTTAGCCACAGGTTAGATGGGTTCCCGCATGGGGAAACCCATCAAGAGCCTGGCTGCAGCATTTTGCACCAGCTGTAGCTTCCAGATTTGCACCAAGGGCAGCCCCATGTAGAGAGCATTATAGTAGTCCAGTCTCGAGGTGACCATTGTGTGGATCACTGTTGCCAGGTCATTGTGTTTGAGGAAGGGAACCAACTGCCTAATCAGCTGAAGATGGTAAAAGGCCATCTTGGCAGTGGTTGCTGCCTGGGCCTCCATTGACAAGGAGGCATATAGGAGCACTCGCAAACTCCTAACCTCCGGCTCTGGCACCAACAGAGCCCCATCGAAGGTCGGGAGCGGGATCCCTAACCCTGGACCGCTCCGGCTCAAGCACAGGATTTCCTCCTTCGTTGGATTCACTTTCAATTGGCTCATTCTAAGCCAGGGGTGGCCAAGCTTGCTTAATGTAAGAGTCACATAAAATAAACATCAGATGTTTTTCTGCTCCCCCCCCACCTCAGGCCTACCCAGGGAGGGGAACACTGGCTGTGGAAGGGGAGACTGATCAGGGAGGCATGCCTCCCCTTCACTTCCCCAGCTGCCCTGCCAGGAGCCACACAATGTGTGTGAAATAGCTGCATGCAGCTCCCGAGCTGCAGGTTGGCCACCCCTGGTATAAGCCATCCAGCTATGGCTTGTAATGTTCGGTCCAGATCTTCCAGTCTGGAGTCAGACTGGCCGCCCAACATCAGATAGAGCTGGGTGTCATCCGCATCCTGGTGACCTCCCAGCCCATGCCTCCGGGCAATCTGGGCAAAGGGGTGCATGTAGATGTTGAATAACATCAGGGAAAGCACCGCCCCTTGGGCGCACCACAGTCCAGGGGGCGCCTTCGGGACAACTGTTCCCCTACAGCCACCCTTTGTTCCCGACCCTGGAGAAAGGAGATAAGCCACTGGAAGGCAAATCCTTTCGACCCAAGTGTCGGCGAGGTGGTGGACCAGTAGCTGATAGTCAACTGTATTGAATGCTGCCAATAGGTCCAACAACAGCAGCACCGCCAATCCGCCTTGATCCAGATATCTCCGGAGGTCATCCATGATGGTGACAAGGGAGAATGTTCTATGGAAATGTTGAATGTTGCTAAAAAATCCTTGGAGGAATGGCAGGGTAAGAAATTATTTAGATGGATTTCTGGCTAAGAGAAAGAGGCTCTGGTAGAACAGAAAGGAATGCTGATTTAAAGCATACTTTAGTGGTGAACACAACATGGCCTACACTGCACTGTAAGACCCTCGGTCTACCTCTCTATCTGAACAGCAGGTATTTTTCACAAAGGGATACAAGCCGCACCCCCTTTTCCTTTAAAGGAAAGGCTTCTGCAAGCTTATAAAAGGCTAGGCTAAGTTGCATGGATGGATGAACTGGCATCGTGGGAGGTGGAGGGGAAAGAACATCATCCTGGACTCTGAACAGGAATCCAGAGGACAGTCGGTCTCTAGAAACAAAAATGGTCACTGCCAGATCTCAGCTACATATAATACAGCTTTGTATTCCCCTTTTATTCTGAACACCTCTTTATAGTGGCACTTTTTATGCTTCCCAGGGATGGTCACTGTGACTTTTCACTACAGCCCACACTGAGGCTTCTTGAGTCAAATTAAAGGTGCTGAATCAAGGGGGGGGGGGAGAGGATATATATATAAATACAGATGGTTGAATCTATTAGCTTTCAAAACAGAGGGGAAAGTAGTCGGGTTTCATCAGCCGTATACTGTATCAGAATAGGAATAATCATGCCTAGATGCAAGGTCACTTCTTTTCTTTTTGACAGGGTTAAATATTAGGCATAGGATTTGCAGGGTGCAAGCTGGTACCCTTATTCAAAATCTCTCCGGTGATGTGCTGTTCTTTTGCCTTTCTAACAGATCTTTGCAGCGTGCTACCCAAATTCCTCTACCCCTCTAACAATGTGACTTTGGAGTGCGCTCTAGGAAGCCAGTTACCATTGAACTGCACCGTGCAGCTGCCCTTTAGCCAGCACTGTGACCTTGTCCTCCACTGGATGAAAGATGACCTGCGGTTAGATGGTGCTACCACTCAATGGTAAAAAAGCTTTTATGAAGTTTGTGTAAAATGGAGACAACGGATGAACAGGATGTGTAAAAGGAAGGCAATAGGGGGGGGGGGAGACTGTCAAGAAGTCTTTGCAAACTGAATGTTTTTCCTGGGTTAAAATCAAGAGCCATTTTTCAAAAACAGACTTGTACAAGCAATTAGCCTTTGTGGAATAAGGGGCAATTGTGCAGTGTCTGTATATCATCCAGATATAACCAATTGGTAAGAATAGCAAGGTTAACTTTGGGGAGTGGAAAATATGAGTAAAGGTAAAGGTTCCCTTGCTCGAAAGCCAGTCGAATCCGACTCCAGGGTTGCGGTGCTCATCTCCATTTCAAAGCCGAAGAGCCAGCGCTGTCCAAAGACGTTTCCGTGGTCATGTGGCCGGCATGACTAAACACCAAGGCGCACGGAATGCTGTTACCTTCCCACCGAAGCGGTACCTATTTATCTACTTGCAATGTCTTGCTTTCGAACTGCTAGGTTGGCAGGAGCTGGAACTAGAGACGGGAGCTCACCCCGTCTTGCAGCACCCGGGTCTTGAACTGCTGAACTACTGACCTTCCACAGCCTGCAGTTCAGTGTCTTAACCACTTGAGCCACCGCAGCTCCCTAAAATATGAGTACTATATTTTTTAAAAAGACTATTCAGCTTCAGTGCTGGAGAACAAGAGTGTGCAAAGAAGAAAAGGTGGGTCTCAGTGAGATGTTGCTGTGATGGTGGCAGGGAATAACCTTGATAGTTTGTGCACTTCTGAAACATGAATATTCCACCATGTTAGTTTCACAGCAGAGGAGCCAGGGCCACATTATGACTTTTGGCACTTTTGCCTTTGTGGGCCCTTCCAACCATAATAATATCAATATTAAAATTATTTTTGATATAACTTTAAATACTTTAAATACTTAAACATTTTATTTTTTCTGCTTTATGCAAAATTTAATAGGTTTTCATAGGTACAAAAATTTCATTCTTTGCTGAGAAAAAAAAATTTTTTTTGACCCTAAAAGTTATTTTTTCTTCTGATTTTAAAAGAAATTAAAACATTTTCATGGGCTCCTAAAAGTATTGTGGGCCCTAGGCACTGTGCCTATTGTCCGTAATGGATTAGTCGGCCCTGAGAGGAGCACTGTTTCCATAAAGAAGTTTAGTTTAAATTTATATATATCACCAGAAGTGTGTCAGAAGGCAACATCCACTGCTCAGACTCCACTGGACTGTTTTGGATTGCTAGCTATGGGGGGGAGGTGGAACGTGCAGATCTGTCCTCACAGAGGAGCAAGAGCTTGTACCTGAATAAAACTTGGTCTTAAAGGTGCCACTGGACTGTTTTGGATTGCTAGCAATGGGGGGGGGGGAACGCGCAGATCTGCCCTCACAGAGGAGGGAGAGCTTGTACCTGAAGGCAGGACGGGGGGCTCTGCAACTTACCTGATTGCTTCTTGCTCCTCGTGGCCCGACTGAGGGCTACTGGGAGCAGGGGGTGGGGCTTGTTGCATGTGCCCGCCCCCGGGGTCCTTACTGTCAGAGCTCTGCTCCTGTGCGCTCCAGCAGGAAATGACCCCTGTATGTATGTATATATGTGTGTGTGTATATATATATATATATGTGTGTATATATGTGTGTGTATATATATATATATATGAGAGAGGTGATCACCAGGAATGTCATGATCATCTACCAATAGGTGGCCATGAACTCATGCAAAGTTCCATACATCATTTAATATTAAATAATGGGATGGAAATGCTGGTTGGGAGGAATAATACTTTCCCATCAGCAAAGATTTACATTTTTAGCAATAAGGAATTCTCTGTTGCAACTACACAGTGGAAATGCTTATTTGAAAGAAGACATTTGGATCTACAGCAAGTACTGAGCAATCCCAGCCCATTCATAGAAAAATAATTCAGGAAAGTCCCAAATAAGGTGAACGTTTGCAGAATAGAGACTGAGCAGTCAATTTTCTATCATACAATACCTTCATGCTATAATAATGACTGTATTCCTAGAGCGTTGAATAATATATATAGAGCGTTGAATAATGATGGTGCTCATGGCCCATCCATGTTCAAAATTCAGTGTTTCATAAAGAGACACAGGGCAGAGCTCCACTAACCCGCTCTTCAGTCAAGCTCTTAGCAGGAATTCCGTGGTGTTTTTTCCAATCTTTTTCTTTTAAATAATATAAACTCAAATCTTTTTGATTCGTCAGGTTCAGTGACAATGCAACAGAGATCTTTATTTCCAGCATTTTGGATGTGAATGTGACTACTGATGAGAATTGCGGCGTTTTTGCCTGCGTGGTTAGAAACAGCACAGCGGTTTTCACACTGCAAAAATCAGGTATTGTTTCATTATATTGCAAATGGGACTGGTTCTTTCTTGAAGGACTTATTAAAAGACTTTAAGAAAGATTCTGCCTACTGCTCCATGTATTCTACCTAGATAAAAGTCCCACCAGTATTTCTAAAACATCAGGGGAGGACAAAATATAGCCTTGTTGTATGCCATCCACATGGTGATACTATGGCCGAATCTGCATTTTCATTTTTAAAGCAGTCTTGATGCCGTCTTTCTTTATACTAGTGTGATGCTTTTTTCAAAGTGGTACGAAAAAATCTGCTATTTTTTTCTGCTTCCTGGCCGGGAATGTTACTGTTCCCCTTCTTCTCTAGCACGCCCAGCATTTGCCGGCACCCATTAGCTTTACACAAGGCAATAAATTACTTAAGGCAACAAGCCAACAAGCTATAAACTTCTCTTTACATTCAAAGAGAAGGATTTTCTCAGCTTTCAGTTTTGCCCAGCTTTTGGTTAAACAAGAAAGCAAAAATAGCCAAAAAACTGTAAAGACTGGGTGTTTAGTTTGCAGAATGTATGTATGTATGTATGTAGAAGGGATCTTTCTCTAACTTTTCAGGCAATATAAAAATCACAAAACAAGATAAAATAATTCACTCTTAGCTTGTCAAACATTCCTCTATGTGCCGTCAGAAGGTAAACAGAGCAGATAAGCCTCCGATTAGCACTTGGGGGGGCTTAGAGTTAGGCTTCCCAAGTCCCAGGGGGGCGGGAAACCCCCGCCCCAGAGGCCCGTTCCCTACCACCGGCGGATCGGGCCCCGGGGGGAACCCCACCCCGACGGGCACGTCACCTGGAAGTGACATGACGATGCCGGGCATGCTGGGGGCGGGGCCACGGTCATCCGAGGGAAAACTCTATGGTTTTCCCTCGGATGGTCATGGCCCCGCCCCCAGCGTGCCCGGCGGCGTCATGTCACTTCTGGGTGATGTGTGTGCGGCGCGCGCTTTGCACGCTCAAGCCGCCAGCCGGGAGTCCTCTGCTGCGGCGCGACGCTGGACTTGGCAACCCTACTTAGAGTGCTTTTAAGTACATCCATTTGAGCTGGAGAGAAGCCGCAATCATGACGGAGCCGAAACCATAGGACAATAAAATAATCCAGACAGCAGAAATTATAACAGTGCAGTCGGAGAGTGAAACCCAAAGAGACGTGGACATCTTTTTTGGAGACGGAGCGAGAGTGTAGCCGAAGCAGTGGAAAATACCAATGCAGATTCCACCTATGTGTGGCTCTTGCTGCTGAAGATGCAGAGGCAGCAACAATAGAGCATTAATGTGGCAATTTCTCCCTCTCTTTCTTCTCTTCAGCTCCCTACATCTGCCACCCCCCATAGCTACTGTACAATAATGTTATGGTTCTTTTGCCACAACCTACGAGCTCCTCTGAATTCCCAGTTTTCATTTTTAAAAAAGTAAGCCCTTTTCACAGCACGATTAAAAAAAAAAAAGGAAAGGTGCACTCTTTATGCTGCAAAAAGGTCTAGAGACTTACGTTTTAAAAGGAGATTGTCGTACTAGATCATTAAAACATTATTGTGCTGTAGTGATCTGGAAACTGCTGAATAAAAACGTAAAACTTGAAAAAGCTCTCCACTGGTGGTAGTTGGTGGGGAATAGTGGCTATATGGAACTGATAAAGAGAAATTGGCACCGATGTGTGGTAGAACTTCAAAAATGTGCACTTTGCCATCCAGACAGGATCCAAAAATATCATATCAACCCAGGTTTGGGAAAGATTACATCAAAGCAGGGGAAAAACTCAGGAAGTAGACAGTTTGGTTATGATACCTTGTGGATGTTCTAAAGAACCGACCTCCAGTCTAGATGTGAAACTAAAGCAAAATGTCATTGTGGAAGCACCCCAGATCTGCTGTCTTGTTTGGAGGGAATGCAGTTTTGAAGATCGTGTTCAGAAATGTTGTGTGTCTCAAAGAATTTTGGAAACTATTTCAGACTTTCCCTTCTCTATATAGAAATTTGATTGCTCTTACTTCCTTAGCTGTAGAGGCAGAATATTTGCTGCTATTTTTTTCCTTTGCTTTTATACTGCATTTATTTATTTTTGCTTGTTTTTTGTTAGTAATGCAACATTTTATTTAACAGGAAACAATCAGCGATCACACAGTGAACTTAGCAAGTCAGAAAAAAACTGTGTGGAGGACACTTAAGAAAGGCAAACAATACTGAAAAAATTTACTAATAGGTAACTCAATAAGGAGTAATATCACAAACACAATAATACTAATGAATATTTGCTAATAGGTAACTCAATGAACCTTTGTATATTCTTAGTTCTTTTAAAGTATTTTTTGTAATCTTCGAGGTTCTTAATATTCTTGCCTATACTTAGCCTCTACTGAGGAAGACTTTTGAAATGAAGGTTTGAATATCCGGAGTCTTTGTCCATTGCAGACTTACCTGTTGGATTATTTATTGTATTTTGGGGTGTGATATTACTCTTCATTGAGTTACCTATTAGCAAATATTCATTAGTATTATTGTGTTTGTGATATTACCCCTTATTGAGTTATCTATTAGTAAATTTCTTCAGTATTATTTGCCTTTCTTAAGTGTGCCTCCACACATTTTATTTAACCTCACTGTGTGTTGCATTGGCACATCAAAGACTACACCTGCTCCTTGGATGATCCTGCCTGCTTTAAAAGGTTATTTTACCCTAATTGCAGCAGGGTGGCTAAAGGTCTCCAAGCTATATTTTCCAGTTTTCAGAACTGCCTGCAGTAAAAGCTGCCTCAGGTGCTGGCTATGTAACCCTGTTGCAAGCCTAAGACCCTGTGTTGGTTTTAGGGATTCAGTTTGCAAAGCAATCTTGTGGTACCATCATCTATGAATCTGACGACAGAAATTACCACATGATGGCACCAGCATACAATGAAAACCTTCCTGACATATTAGTCACTGCTTTTCCAGTTACTCTGCTTTGAAATTAATTATGCATCCGGACAACATGTTTTTCTGTTTCTGTTTAGCATGCCTGAAACTTAAAAATCCTCTGTCTGGAAGTTCCTTTGGACTGCTGAAACAATTTCAAGATTGTAGCTTGGGTTTATTCTAAAATAACATCATGATAAGTGTTTAGATCAGGTTTCTTCTGCAAATGGTCTATTTAAACAGTGCCTTTTAAAATTGTTATGCTAGAAGTCACTGTGAAAGGGTTACATACACACACACACAAAAGAGATTTAGTTAGCTGTGAAGGCTATGGAGAATGTAGTTCATAGGGGTGGGGCTTGTTGCATGTGCATGCAACAAGCCAGCACAAAGCAAAAATCTGTAATCTCGGCTCATTTGATTTATTTCTGCAAACATGTCTTGTGAATAGGGATGCTTACAAAATCTGGAATAACATGGTGCTAGGATAAATTTGTTTTTTTAATAGCTTCTGCTTATCTTCTCATCATTACCTACAATTGCTTGTTTCAATATCTGTTTTAATCAATCAATTGTTATCTCTTTGCTAATATGTAGTTGCCCCCCCCACTCGTTATTGTTATATTACTCGATGCAGGGGTCATTCCGTAGAAAAAGAGGTGCAGGAGCTCATTAGCATAACTCATTAGCATAACTTATTTGCATATGCCACACCCCCTGACAGCACCGGAAGTGTGTCAGAAGGCAATACCCATTGCTCAGGCTCCACTGGACTGTTTTGGATTGCTAGCTATGGGGGGGGGGGAACGTGCAGTTCTGTCCTCGCAGAGGAGGGAGAGCTTGTACCTGAACAAAACTTGGTCTTAAAGGTGCCACTGGACTGTTTTGGACTGGGGGCCCGGGGGGGGGTGCTCTGCAACTTACCTGGCTGCTTCTTGCTCTGACTGAGGGCTGCTGGGAGCAGGGGGTGGGGCTTGTTGCATGTGCCCGCCCCCTGGGCTCTTTACTGCCGGAGCTTCGCTCCTGTGTGCTCCTGCAGGAAATGACCCCTGACTCGATGCATTTGTCCTTTAGAGACCACACCACCCTGCTGAGCATCCCACAACCACTGTGCAGACTTATACAGAACAGTGCTATGAACAAAGTTCTTCTCTTCCTTTCTCACTTCCCATGTACCATGTAATTGACTGCTTGTCATGTATATTGAAGGAAGTGCCCTTTTCTGTTACAGTTGAGGCTGCTGGACACTTGGGTGCTGTGCTAGTTGCATTCTTCATCCTGACACTGTTGCTGCTAACGAGCGTTACATACGTGAAGTGTCGTCTGAATGTGCTGCTGTGGTACAGGAACCGTTATGGCGATCTGGAGATTAATGGTAAACCCTTGGGGTGGGGTGTTACTGGCCTTTCCCCCTTGATTAAGAGTATTTTATGCTATGGGAAGTAGTTGAGGGGATTTGCATAATGGAATCTTGACTCTAGCACCAAGACAGTCTACGATAGCTTCTCCCAAAGGAAAGTTGTACGATGGTAGAACTAAAGTGACATTACAGTCTTCCTGCCATATCTGAATGGGATCCAAGCATTCAGTGTGAGGGAGGGGCAAGGCTCCCCCCCTTTTTGTAGTGCTTATGGCAGTGTAGCAGTGCAATCCCAAACAGTTACACCCTTCTAAATCCATTGAACTCAGTGGACTTAGAAGGCTGCAACTTGGTTTAGGATTGCACTGTAGTTTAGTTTACCTAGCACGTCATTCATTTGCATGGGATCTACCTCCAAGGAGAGTCTAAGGCAGGGGTGTCAAACATGCGACCCGGGGACAGGTCAGGCCCCCGGAGGGCTTCTTTCAGGCCCGCAGTAGAACTGGCTGTCTTCTGCTTCTTCTTCCAGTTCCGCTGCTGCTGCGTCATCGTAGGTTTGCAGTTTACAGATACACACCTGAACAGCATACTCAAGATTGCAACAGCACAGACATTTTGATGCGATAATTCAGAGCAAGGGGTGTCAGTTATCAGACACTGTGAAATAAACAAAAGGTTGCAAGACTGCTAACATTTTAAGCATATTTTTATTTTAAGTTTTAAAAACCCTTTGTGTTTGTGTCCTCTATAAAGTTTATATCTCCGCTACCGGGCATTACATTTTATGACACACATGGCCCGGCCCAACAAGGTCTCATTTATGTTAGATCTGGCCCTCATAACAAATGAGTTCAACACCGCTGGTCTAAGGTAAAATTGCAAAGTTAGTCTTGCCCCATCTGTGAAATTCTACAGAAGATGTACTCTCAGTGTTAACATTGGTCTACACTGGAAAAAATAAAGATATCATGACATGAACTGTATTTCCTCCTATTTCCTCTCTCTGTTTCTTTCCACAGATGGCAAGCTCTATGATGCCTATGTGTCTTATGCTAACGCAACAGATGACATAAAGTTTGTGAACTTCATAATGAAGCCACAGCTGGAAAATCGTTATGGTTACAAACTCTTCCTAGATGATAAAGATGTTCTGCCCAACTCAGGTAGAGAACTGCTCCAACACCTTGTTTAATGTTTTCCTATGACAAACACCCTTGCTATTGAATTCTGCTTGATAGTCAGAAATTGATTCGTTAGCTTGAGCACCTTGATACCACTAGTTTAACTCAGATGGGGTTGTATATAAGTGGGTTTATTTGTAATGTGGTAACTCAGCATTGAGGAACAAACTAGGAAAGACACCATGAAATGCATGATCAGCTCCCCTATGGTTGATGGAGGTTTGTAGCTCAAAGCAGCAGAAGGAACAGCAGTGGCGGCCATATTAAGATTAGGAACGTGGTACAGGGGGAAGTGGGTGCTTGCTTGGCTCAAGTGGTTAAGACACTGAACTGCAGGCTGTGGAAGGTCGGTAGTTCAGCAGTTCGAGAACCGAGTGCCGCATGATGGAGTGAGCTCCCATCTCTAGTTCCAGCTCCTGCCAACCTAGCAGTTCGAAAGCAAGAAATTGCAAGTAGATAAATAGGTACCACTTTGGTGGGAAGGTAACATCGTTCCGTGCGCCTTGGTGTTTAGTCACGCCGGCCACATGACCACGGAAACATCTTCGGACAGCGCTGGCTCTTCGGCTTTGAAACTGAGATGAGCACTGCAACCCTAGAGTCGGATTCGACTGGCTTTCGAGCAAGGGAACCTTTACCTTTACAGGGGGAAGTGCTGTTTGTTGCGGTTTGGCCCGTGGGATGGAACATATTAGCACCACGTGTATAGCTTTTCTATATGGAGAAATATCAGCTGGGGGACTCTAAATCAGGAGAATGGTGTGGAGAGAATATAAAGCTCCCTTGTTCCAGTGCCACGACTTTGATCTTATTCTCTCTCACATTCTCATACGATTGCTGTTAGCTTTTTTTTTTTTTTAAGTGAGAGTCTATTCATTGATTTCCCATTTATCATCTAGTTAGATCCTAGCCATGTATACTTGGACTATTCTTGGGACTGGTTGTTCTATCTAATAGTTTTTCTTTTATCTGTTCCTGTCCCCCCCCCCCCCCCCCCCCCGGGCACATACTTGGGAAGTATTCATGGCTTATGTATGCAGTGGAACTCAAATAGCTGTGAACATACCAAATTACCCCTACACTCAATGCACCCCTCTTAACATTCTTCTGTACTTTTACTTTGGAATGTATGCATCCAATAGACCACAAACACAAAAATCCTGTACAACACTCCACCAGCATAAAACTGGTGATAGCAAGAGTGGGAGGGAGAAAGCACGTCCAGGAAGCTGGGACCATAATTATGCCCATAATGAGTGCTACTCACTCAAGAAGATGGAAAGTGTAGTGCAAAAAGGGTATTCTCCAGGTACTGTGTCACCTTTCTGGAGATGCACTATGAAAATGGGACAAACCTGATAAACCATTTATCAGAATACAGGTATTCTTGGTATGCCAAGAAACACCGTCCATCCTACAAACAAACCCCCATCTTTTGACTGTGCTCTGAAGAATAGAATGAAGATGTGCCTAAGGCTTGGTTTCTTTTTGAAGGCACAGGCACCCATTTTATCCAAAGCAAATAGTGTCATTTGAAGTGTCATCTCTCCTTATATATAACTGAGTAAGGGAGCGGAGAAAAAATGTGCACCGTCAGCCATTGGCCTGCCAGCTGCCGCGGGAGGCGAACACTGCGAGTGAACGCTGCCGCCAGGAGCTGGGGAAGGGAGGCTGTGGGGCTGCGCGGGGGCCGGCGCCAGGAGGACGCAGCAGCCCTGGAAAAGCGGAATGTCAGTGAGGGGGATGGCAGAGGCCGGCGACGGCATGTGAAGAGCTCATTCCCGAACGGCCGCCCGGTCCGCCTCGCTCCACCACCTTCTTTGGCGAGGGGGGGCTGTGCCGGGGCCGCCTGGCCTCAGGGACGGGGGAGGTGGCCACCGCACCCGGGGACTGGTAGGCGGCGGCTTCCCTCCCGCCGTGCCGACCACTGCCTCCATGCACTGCGCGACAACGATCCAGTGCGGCCCGAGGCACTTGCCCTGGCCGCGCACGTCTTCGCTCTCCTAACTTTCTGCTGGTGAGAGGCAAAGTCCTTCAGTAGGGTGAGATTGTGGCCCCGCCAAGCGCGAGGCCTGTTTCTGGTGGCCATACCGGCCTTCCCTCGCCTGGGGCGGCCTTCGCCGGCCAGGCTTCAGGCCCTACATTGGAGGGAACTCCGCCGGCCCTGGCCATGCTTGGGGGCGGGGGAGGCCACCACATGCCATGCCCCGGCCCTGCTTCGCTGGGCAGGCCCAGCCCCCTTGCTCTAAGCCGACAGCTCTCCCTAGGGCTCGTTGTCTCCCCCCGCAACGGGCATTTCCCCTAGTTAAAAACTAAAGAGAATGGGGTGGCATTAAGGAATTGACTCCTTTCTTCAGGGCATCTGTTTGGAACTGATGTGATTTCTTTTGTTAGGCTGATGATCAGTGTTTCTGCTAAGGTGTGCTAGGGGGCACTGGTGCACAACATTTTAGCTCCAACTCAGGAATTTTAAGCTTTTGCTCACAATAAGGCATTTCCCCCTCCATTGGAAACAATAAGGGATGGGGGCACCTCCTTTTGGGGCCCATAGAATTGGACCCCCTGGTCCAATCTTTTTGATACTTGGGGGGGGTTGAGGAGAGGCACTAGCTGGTGTGCTTCTACCTCAAAAAAATACCCCCCCCGATACCCCCAGATTGATTCTCCATTATAGCCTATGGAGCCCATTGACTATAATGGTCCCCATAGACTATAATGGAGCTGGAAAAATAGGTTATTATTTTTTGCACACCCGTTATGGTTTTCAGTGTGATTTGTAAGCTGCCTCGAGTCATAGGAAAAGTGAGATATAAATGTTTGACTAAATAAGTAGTTTGGGCAGCTTGATAACATTTAAGCAGCTTCCTGTTTGTTAGGTTAGGCAGGGTTCTGACAGTGATTGTTCCACTTCTGTTATATTTGACCTGTAATTTGTCATATTTCACTAAAAAAAACCCCCCAGAGTAGACTGGAAGAGTTCCCCCCCCCCCAAGTGCTGGTATGTTTTCTAAGGCTCAGCGCAGGGTGACAGTCTGAGGCCAGGTCTACCAATATAGTGGACAGGGGAGGGTAGACCTGTTCTCTGGAGGCCTGGTCTACCCCTATAGAAGGCAACATTTTCTGTAATGAAATTTGACTTGATTCTGTTTTCTCTTATAATGTTTAAATTATTCTTAAAATGTGGTTTGAAAGAATTCTTTCTGAGATTTTTACAAGGTTATGGAAGTAATCCAATGGAAGTCAAATGTAGACTCACAACTTTAATGCTACTAGCTTTTTTCGTTCACAAGGTAGAATTTTTGCTCACAACACTGTGGAGCTTAGAGGGAACATTGTCACTGGTGATTCCTTCTAGTACAGGAGGAGGGTGAGTGCCGAACTAGTGGCGGGCTAGGCATTGGGCCTTTGCCGAAAAGAGATTCAACTGTCTGCCTTTTCCCTAGAGCCTTCTGCAGATCTGATCATGAATGTCAGTCGGTGCCGTCGCCTCATTGTTGTTCTTTCTAATGCTTACCTGGAACAGGAATGGTGCAACACTAATTTCAGGTAACTGGAGGACCACCAAGAGAGACAATTGTTTGCTGTTTTATTGGATCTTCTTGGGCAGCTTTCACTAAAGTGGGAGGGTCCTGTCAGCTACACTGGTGCAGTTGTTACCCACAGTGTCCAAAAATTCATGAATATTGTGATTTTAAATGTTTTATTTATTATATACTGTATTGTATTTTGCACTCGGCTTTGCCGCATGTGAGCTGCCCTGAGCCTTTGGGAGGGCGGGATATAAAACAAACTAATAAATAAATAAAATAAATAAATATCTGGAAGTGAACTATAGAAGTCTTTGAGATTTTCAATCTCTTAAACATTCTTCTGAAGTTTAACCAAATGGGGTTGAATCTCATTAAAATCAGTGGAACCTCTGAATGAATTCTTGAGGTGCCTGGATCATAGTAGTTCGGTTGGGTGCTGAGGAGTTCTACTAATGCCTGAGTGAAGTAAATTTCCTTATGACTCTCTAACTACTGCTTTTCTCCCATTTCCAGGGAAGGTCTGTGGAGACTGTTGGAACTGTCTCAGAGGCCAATCTTTGTTGCCTTCGAGAGCCAGTACAGGGAAATAGCGCATCCAGCCATTGATTTGCTGAAACAGCACAAGAGCACGGTGACTCTGCTGATGTGGCGTGCTGGTTCCATGGTAAATTGTGGGCTGCAAGCCTCTTGCTTCCTTTTCTCAGCAGCAAAGTAATATTTGAAGCTGTTCAAGAATCATAGAACCAGGGGTCATTTCCTGCAGGAGTGCACAGGAGCGGAGCTCCGGCAGTAAAGAGCCCAGGGGGCGGGCACATGCAACAAGCCCCACCCCCTGTTCCCAGTCAGAGCAAGAAGCAGCCTGGTAAGCTGCAGAGTCACCCACCTGCCCGCCTTCAGGTACAAGCTCTCCCTCCTCTGTGAGGGCAGATCTGTGCATCCCCCCCCCCATAGCTAGCAATCCAAAACAGTCCAGTGGTACCTTTAAGACCAAGTTTTATTCAGGTACAAGCTCTCCCTCCTCTGTGAGGACAGTTCTGCACGTTCCCCCCCCTCCAATAGTTAGCAATCCAAAACAGTCCAGTGGTGGGTGTTGCCTTCTGACACACTTCTGGTGATGTCAGGGGGTGTGGCATATGCACATAAATTATGCTAATGAGGTATGCTAATGAGCTCCCGCACCTCTTTTTCTACGAAGTGACCCCTGCATAGAACTCAACTTCTTGGTTTTTGATGAAGGCCCTCTGCAATTCCTTGACATAGCAATGCATGCACTAATGACATTCTGCTTCTGTTTGGAGTGTAGAGATCGCATGGCTGCTACTTTTATTATTTATGTGCTGAATGTGAAGTCTGGCCAGTGTGTGTCTTAGGGGATACCAAAAGGGTATTTCTCCTATGAACTCAGCCTAGTTGAGAGCCGATTGACAACTGCTCCTGAGGCCGTTGCGTGGAAACCACTGGTAAGGGTGAACTCTGACTGATGCTGAAAATGTGGAGGAGAAAGTCAGATGAACTTGTAATGACCTAGATAAAAAACAGCAACAACAAGCCACAGGGAGGCACCAGCATCTGAGAAATGAGAAGCGGCAGCTTCACCCGGAGAGCTCTTTTAACACAAGGGCTGTACAAAGTCAGGAGACAGTGACAGATTCAGAAGGCTTTCCCCCTCCATTCCAGCCGTTTAGACACTTCTGATTATATCTGCTATATTTGTTATCATAGATCAGCGATAAATGGTCACATCTTTTTGACTCTCAATACTGCTTGCAGTTGCACATCAAAGCAAGAGATCAGCAAAGAGTATAAGAGAGCTTATTTGCATCATAAAAAATATGCAGTCTAATATTATTGATAATTGACATGTTGATAATCCAGAATGTTTTTGCAGCTGAAAAACTGGTCGTTATGAGTCCTTTATTAGGACGTGGCACACATGAGATCTTGCAATATGTAATAATTATACACATGATTTGCACATGGATTACTGGCAACTGTTTACTTTTATCATTTCCCTTTCCCTAAAGCATTTCTAAGAAGCCCTTTGGTCCCATAAAAACCTTTGCCTGCCATTCCCTTCACATACTGGTTATTCCAGCATCCCACCTACCCTACTTGAACTTAAACATTTCTCATTCCTGGACCACCCTCCTCCTAAGGGTGGTACAAGATTTCACAAAGTAAGAAAAAACAAGAAGGCATTTCCGCTTTCACAGATACATCGTCGGGTCTTGTGAGAAATGAGGGGAAAGCTGGTAAGCCAGTTATGGGAACTGATACGGACAGAGAAGTTGTGCAACAGATATCCAGCTGTTTTTCCAGAGAACCGTGGCACTTACAAACAAAACCGCCCATGTGCAGATAAGCTTCAACTTGTCATGGTTGTGAAGAAAAGTTTTGAAAACATGTGGGCAGTTTGTCTGCTAAAAGCTTATACATTAAACTGAATCAATGTGAGGCTTTCATTAGTCAGGGTGCTGGTCTAAATTCACATCCTGTACCTCCCCTAGCCTGGTCCTTTTCACCCCTGTTGCCTGCCATGTTCTATAAGGTTACTTAATTTGTATAATTTAAGCAACTTTCCATTTCTGTACCCCAGCATTTGGCTTATGTTAGCAAGAATAGTGTAAGATAGAGATTTACCATAGAAATCAAGACAGCGGCTAGAGAAGAAGAAGAGATTGGATTTATACCCCGCCATTCACTCGAAGTCTCAGAGCGGCATGCAATAGCCTTCCCTTCCCCACAACAGACACCCTGTGAGGTAGGCGGGGCTGAGAGAGCTCTGACAGAAACTGCTCTTCAGAGAACAGCTCTGAGAGATCTGTGACTACCCAAGGTCACACCAGCAGCTGCATATGGAGGAGTGGGGAATCAAACCCAGTTCTCCCAGATTAGAGTCCGCTGCTCTCTATATTTTTAGAACACAATTTTAATGACAACTTAAAAGCTTTTAATAGCAGTTGCTGGACAAGAGCATCAGGTCTAAGCTTCATGTCACGTGAACACATAAAGATGCCATATACTGAATCAAACCAGGGCTTTTTTTGTAGAAAAAGCCCAGCAGGAACTCATTAGCATAATAGGCCACACCCAACAGCAGAAACTCATTAGCATATTAGGCCACATCCCCATGCCTTCCCTTGGCTTACCTGGGCACCCCACAGCTGCGGGGAGCCCGGGCAAGCTGACCCTAGGCTGGGGAAGGCATGGGGAGGCATTTAAATGCCTCCCCAATCCTTCCAGGGGCCCCCCGGCTCTCCCGCCTTGGAGTTGCTGGGTGGGTCACTCTCCAGGCCTTCCCTCTGTAGCCATGCATGCAGAAATTTTGGCTGTAGAGGGCATGGCCAACTCTGAAGCCAGCCGGAACTCCGTTCCTGTGCGTTCCTGCCCCAAAATAGCCCTGAATCAAACCGTTGGTGCGACAAGGTCAGTATTATTTATGCAGACTGGCACTAGCTCTCCAGGGTCTCAGGCTGAGGTCTTTCACAGCACCTCTTATCTGATTTTTAAAAAACTAGAGATGCCGGGGATTGAACCTAGGACCATCTGCATCCATACTGAGCCACAGATCTTGACCATTCCCCCCCCCCATTTCTTGTGTGTGTGTGTGTGTGTGAAGTGCCATGAAGTTGCAGCCAACATATGGTGAACCCATAGAGTTTTCAAGGCAAGGCATGGACAGAGGTGGGTTTGCCATGGCCTGTCTCTGCACAGCAACCCTGGACTTCTTTGGTGGTCTTCCATCCAAGCACCAACCATGGCCAACCCCGCTTAGCTGGCTTCCAGGATCTGACCGGATCGGGCCAGCCTAGGCCAGCCATTCTTTGCTCAGACCTTAAAAACTCCACTGAACAGCCTCTTCCAAAACAAAGCAACAGGATAGGACTTTATATCTAGTCATCATTACTAAATTGTTTGATTCAATAAATACAATGGATTGCATTCCATCAGAGTGGAGTCTGGTCATAGTGCTCTCGTTTGTCAAGGAACAGACTCAAATGAGCCTGCAGATTATAGACCAATCAGTCTGATGGACATCTCAGCAAAATTATGTACACTATTTTAAGTTTGAAGCACGGGCTGTGTTGCACAGAACCAGCTATAAAGCTGGCTATTTGACGCTGGGCAATTGTTTCATAGTTGTCCATTTAATTTGTAAGACGGTTAACATAAAAGAAACAACGCTCTTTGCAGCTTTCATAGCTTTAGGACTGCTTTTGGTTACATTAACAGAGGCAAGTTCTGAGAGAAACTTCCTAACACTGACAGCTGTTACCCTTTGCTGATTTTGAAAAGCATTATACTAACACAGCAAGCTGTGAGAGTTCGATTTTTGCCTCCAATACTGGGACTGTGGTCCAGCTGTATTCTGGAGTCCGGTAATGCCAGCCAAGGTTGTATATCTATGCCTTTCTTTTTCAAAAGTTCTGTAATGCCTTAATTAAAAGGAAATAATTTCTTCCCACTTAGGGTCAGTGAGAGAGAGCCATGCTGATGTTATGGCCCTCATGTTTCCTGTGCAGATTGTTAGCATTTTAAAGTGAGTTCTGGCACAAGGGCTTATTTAAGTCTAAATGATTAACATCCTTGTCTTGGGCTCTAGACCAGGTCATCAAAAATTGTGTATGTACATCAGTTGTTTTGAACAAACTAAATCCGCTGCCGAATATGTCACCTTGACCCTGTTTGGGTGGCGAGCCTATTTTGGCTCATCCGTGGAGCCAAATGGACCCAATGCGGCTTCAGATGGCTCTCCGGGATCCGATGCCCCCAGGCAGCTCGTTAGATGAGCTTGTTGAAGACTGGCATAACCAACTCTCAAGGGCCATTGATGAGATCGTTCCCCAACGCCCTCTGAACCCTCGCTCTAGGCTCACTCCATGTTTTACCCAGGAGCTGTGGCTGATGAAGCACGGGCTGAGACAGAGAGACAGCGGTGGCATGCTCGCGATGAAGCTACAAGAACATTTTATAGGCCGTTTATGAGATCCTACGAGGTGGCAGTCAAAGCTGCAAAGAGAGAGTACTATGTGGCTGTGATTGCATCTGCAAGCTCGTGCCCAGCCCAATTGTTTAGAACAATTCGATCTATTACTACTTTGCAGCAAGGCAAGCAAAATGTAGGGAATTGGCTATTGGCTGTGAGGCTTTTGCGAGCCATTTTGCAGATAAAGTCTTGTCTCTCCACCGCAACCTCCCCGCTACAGTTGATACAGTGAGCGAGCTTGAGGTTCCACGCACATCTTCTGGTCTGCTCAGCTTAGAGGAAGTCGACAAACTGCTCCTAACTGTATGCCCTACCACTTGCTCCCTCGATCCATGCCCATCGTGGCTAATTAAGGTTGGCCACGAGGGGTTTTGAGGTGCCTTGTGGGAGATGATCAAGAAGTCCCTCCTGGAGGTACTGTTCCTGGAGGCACCAAGGAAGCAGTGGTCCGCCCTCTCTTGAAAAAGCCATCTTTGGACCCAGCCAAATTGTCTAACTATCGGCCAGTCTCCAACTTGCCCTATTTGGGCAAGATAATAGAGAGGGCAGTGGCAAGTCAGTTACAGGGCTTTTTGGATGATGTTTCCATTCTAGATCCCTTCCAGTCTGGCTTTCACCCAAGTCACGGGACGGAGACAGCATTGGTCGCCCTCACGGATGACCTCCGGAGGCATCTGGGTCGAGGTGGATCAGCAGTGCTGTTGTTGGATCTGTCAGCGGTGTTCAACACAGTCGACCACCAGCTACTGACCCACTGCCTCTCCGACACTGGAATTATGGGGCTGGCCTTGCAGTGGCTTGTCTCCTTTCTCCAAGGTCAGGGATAAAGGGTGGCACTTGGGGAACAGCTGTCCCAGAGGCACCCACTGGGTTGTGGTGTGGCTCAAGGGGCAATGCTGTCCCTGATGCTTTTTAACATCTATATGCGCCCCCTTGCCCAGATTGCCTGGAGGCATGGGCTAGGATGTCACCAGTATGCGGATGACACCCAGCTCTGTCTGTTGTTGGGTGGCCAGTCTCACTCCAAACTGGAAGATCTGGACCGGGTGTAACAAGCTGTGGCTGGTTGGCTTAGGCTGAGCCGACTGAAATTGAGTCTGACAAAGACAGAGGGTCCTGTGCCTGAGCCAGGGCAGTCCAAAGGCAGGGATCCCACTCCTGACTTTCAATGGGGCACCATTGGTGCCAGCGCTGGAGGTTAAGAGTTTGGAAGTGCTCCTCGATGCCTCCTTAACAATGGAAGCCCAGGTAGCAGCCACTGCCAAATTTGAAGAAATTTGAGAAATAAATAAATATAAATAAAACTCAAAGAGGTATGCAAAGCTCATGAAAGATACTATTGAAGGAATCTAACCAGAGGGAGTTAAGGGACTGTCCTTTGGGGGACGATCATGGTGGTTCGTGCCTTGCGGACCAAGAGGGTCCTCGGGAGAGTGCCGTCTCTCAGGCAGAGCTGCTGGAACTTTCCCACAAATATCCTTCGGGAGGGCATTGCGTGTGACTGATCCAGCATGCGCGTGATCGAAGCCTGTGTTTTTCTTCTTGCTGCTAGATGCCTTCATCTGATTTCTGGAAGGAACTGTGCCTTGCCCTGCCACGGAAAATGTCCTCTCGAGGCCTCAGAGGAGACCCCCAAACCCATCTCCAGGAAGATAAGGATCCCATGTTGATCATCCACAGCAACTACCTGGATTTCCGAGGGGAATCTCACCCTGAGGGAGACACTGGTAACGGTACCATTTTTATCTTAGCTCTACCACTGTACTTTTGAAGGAGTGAGACTGAAGTAAGCTAATCAGAGTAAATAACACAGCAACAGGACACAAGGTCTGCTGTAGATTTACTGGTACTGCTCTTAGATTTCAATTACTAATGGATTTTTAAAAAATACATTACACTGTGTTCAAAATAAGAAAAAATACATTACACTGTGTTCAAAATAAAGCCACAATAGCAGTTATTAGCCAGCCAAATTTCTTCCTAAACAGGAACATTTTAACCAAGGTTTTTGTGAGCTGGTCATATGAGCTTGTTTGGACAGAGTTGTGCAATGAGTATGCCACCACAGAGAAGGCTGAGTGTGACCTCATGGGGTAATTGGGTCTTTCTCCCAAACCGAAAAAGTTGGTAATTGGTTCTTTCTCCCAAACCGAAAATGACAGCCAAAATAAGAAAATTTTCGGGGGCATTAGAATACTGAAAACGAGATGAAAGTATGGACAAAGATATGTTTTTGCCACTTTGTCAGGATCCTTAGTCAGGTTACGCAACACAGGGCTTCATGAGAAGATAACTGTTTATTGGTAAATCCAGTACTAGAGACACATGTACAGCTTGTGTCAGGAATGGCCGCCAACACTAGGGCCTCTGACTTATAGTGAAATCAAACATCCCCCCTGTAAGCATGAGCCAATGGTTACATCTTGCACTCATGGGCAAAGCAAGCAGGCTTAGAAAAGCTGTTAACTTTCCCAGCTGAGAAAAACTGCAGCTGGAGCATCTACAAGGTCAAGCATAAGATAGCAAACAGTTGGTGAGCCAAGGAGAGCTGAGACAGAAAACGGGAGGGCACCCCTCCACATTCCAGACCTATGACAGGGCTACCTGACATCCACATACATTCAGTGACCGAATCTGTGAAGCATATCATTGCATAGACAGGCATATTAAAGAATACACCTTTGCTAAAGTGTTCCAGCTTACCACTGGCTTGCTAGTTCTTAGGTGAGCTCATACAAGTCTTAAAGGGCTCTCCTTGCCACAACTCTGTTGCTGCCTGCCTGAATATTTTCCATCTGAACTGTGAGCTGCCTCTGTGCTTCCTTTCTGTGTTTTTATGGCTGTTTGTCTAGTTTTGACTGGATTGTGCTGCACTCTTGTGCACTCCTTCTTCGGAGTAAGTTATGTTCTGAGCAGACATGCACAGAATCAGACTGCCAGATTGATGAAGCACACTAAGGCTAGAGTCAGAAGATAGATTCTTCAGAGAATTGAAGACACTTTGAAAGTGAGAAAGTTGCTGTGTATGCTCATAGAAGCTAAACAGGTTTCTGCATTGTTTAAAAAACATGCAAAACCTGTTTGACAGGAGATTACTTTCTGAAAAAAATGAAATACATGTGTGCACAATGGAACCCAAAGCTTTTCTATCAACTGAGGCCCTTTGCAGACAGCCTATGTATTCCAATTCAGGAACTGGTTACTAATGGGTTTTTTTCTGTCATTTCAGACAGACCTATTTTAGTAACTGGTTACTAACAGAATATATTTACCTGTTTAGACAAACACGCTTCTGTCCCATTTGGGAAAGGAGCCTGAAGTGTGTTGACTCAAAACTGCTTTCTTCCAATCTTCAATCCTTCCTACTGCTTCTGAAGCGCTATGGGGTGCTGTGTAAAATGCCCCGTAGCACTTCCTGCAATGACGCCCTTTTTCTCCCTGTGCGCGATCGTCCTTTTTTTTTTTTTGAATGTTCTGTTGGGAGTGCTATGGCACTGAGGCAGGGCCACAAATCAGTGCCATAGCAACGCCACTGAGATGCCTGGACTCTGTTTCGATACACTGATATTCACTACTGCTGTCACCTGGAAACAAGTAGCTGACTGGACAGTGTGTTTAAGCGGGAGATCAGGGGCATAAGTCAATGGTGAGACAGAAGTTTGGTCGATTTTTTAAAAGTTTGCTTGAGAGGAAGTGTAGACCTCAGGCGCACACACACAAGGACACACACTCCATGGTTTGTGGGAGTTAAGGAAGAAAGGAAAGCTTGCTGGGTTTCAAAACTGTCCAGTTCCCACCCACCCACCCACCTGCGCTTGAACTCTGTATCCAGTGAGCTCCTTGTTTCCTGGTGACAGCAGTAGCAGATGTCAGTGTATCTAAGTGGAGTCCAGGCATCTCAATGGGGTTGCTATGGCGCTGCTCTGTGGTCCTGCTCCAGCGCCATAGTGCTCCCAATAGAACACTAACAAAGGAAAACCCTCTCAGGAAGATCGTGCACACGGGGGGAAACGGTGGGAAAAGAAAGCGGCGCCGTTTGAAATGACACACCGCTTCAGAGATGGCTCCTTACCGGAAGGGAAATGCTGTGTGAAACAGCCGTCCCTGTACTGGTTTACTCCATGGCAGGACAATAATGGAAACCATTCGGTTTAGAAAGGTAGTGTGAAAGGAGCTCAAGCCTCTATAGTTTGGTCAAATTGTGATTGACCTTTTCTTACACAACAATGTACTTTACCCAGCAATGTTGAAAAACTTTCACTGGCTGACAAAATTGGCTTCGGCTCATGGATCACATGTCCTTCTGTGGCTTTCAGGTGGCAGAACAGGAAGTTCTCATTGGCCCCCTTGAGAATGCTGTCTCCTTAAATGTCCTTCAGAAAGGCAAAGTAAAGAATATGGCCACATTGTTATCCCTCTGTCAAACATTCATCCTCATGAAACTACCATTGGGTGACCCAAATATGCATACATCCAGTGTTCCCTCTACGCTGAGTTAGTGAGAGCTAGCTCACAGGTTTTTAGCCTCCACCTCACACCTTTTTGTCTTAGCTCGGGAAGGAGGGCTCCAGAGCAAAGTAATTTATGCAGTAGCCAAATCGCTTGCTCACAATGTAATGCCAATAGCTTACAAAGTAGAATTTTTGCTCACAATCCACAGCTGAGAGGGAGCATTGCATACAACAGTGCCATATTTTCTGTAAGTACCATATTTTCCACATGGTGAAAATTCTTGGTTTCCCCGTCACAGTCACCACAAACACATAGGCATTAGCATGGTCAAAGGTGGCTCTCTTAGCTGCTATTTTCCCTGCATTTTCTTCCACAGCACCACTGGAGGGCCTTTGGAAAAAATTGCTATTTCACTTATCTCTCTATATAATAATTCTGTTTTGGTCATCGACTCTCCTGAACAGTCCACACGCTCCCAAATCAGTTGGATCCCTAATTTGTCACTCAGAAGCTGTCCCTATCCACTGGCTGCGTTGCCTGAGTCCTCCCTCCAACATTCTAAACAATGAGCTGTTCTTCTCCCCCCAGTAGTCAGTCAGAACACAGAGGTCATTTGCATATGTGGCCTGATTGGCCTTTGCCTCTAACATTCTAAACAGTTTGCTGTTGGGAGTCATTCAATGTGTCCTGAGGTAAAATACATATCCCAATCTTCCCTTAAACGGTCATTGGAGTTGCCAATCTCCCTGTAGGATCTGGAGATCTTCCAGAAATCACTGTGTTCCCCAGCCACAGCACATCATTTTCCCTACAGAAAATTTCCCAGCTATTACAATGGCTGCTTTGGGCAGTGGACTCTATGGCATTATACCCTACTGAAGTTCCTCCGCACCCCAAACCCTGCCCTCCCCAGGCTCTACCCCTCAAATCTACAGGTCTGGCCCTCCCCTTAGTATTGCCAGCCTCCAGGCAGCACCTGGAGATCTCCAAGATCAGTTCTCCTGGAGAGAATGGCTGCTTTGGGCAATGGACTCTATGGCATTAAACCCTGCTGGGGTCCCTCCACACCCCAAACCCTGCCCTCCCCAGGCTCTACCCCTCAAATCTACAGGTATTTCCCAACCCAGAGTTGGCAACCCTGTAACTGGCTATGGAACCGCTTTCCAGACTCTTGGAACCCAGAAGACATGGCATAGGAGGAGGTGCTTTTCTACCTTAGCTGCCACTGCATAACCCCGAATCAACATAAGTCAGAGGTCGAGGGAACCATACCTGTCACCATGATGCTGTCCTCCCATACAACCCACTTGGGACAGCAAAATGACTTGAGACAGCCCTGCCTTATAGCTAAGCAGAAGGAAATAAACATGGCTTGCCTCCCTCCATTTTCCTCTTCCCTCTGCCGCCCCACCAGCCACAGCCGGGACACTCACCTGGAGCTTCCTTCTAGAGCTCGTTGTATTTCTTCCCAAAACCGGCCTTACTCCTAGTAGTACAATATTTTTATTTATGTTATTTTACTTCATTTATATCCTGCCTCTCTACCCATTGAGGACCCAAAGTGATTTATATTGGTGTCCTGTCCTCCATTTTATCCTCACCAGAACCCTCTGAGGTAGGTCAGGCTGAGACTGTGTGACTGGCCCAAGGTCACCCAGCAAGCTTCCATGGCAGAATGGGGATTTGAACCTGGGTCTCCCAGATCCTGCTCTGACATGCTAACCACTACACCACGCTGGTAAGTAACATTATAATTATCTGTTGCCATGATTTACTAGTCCCTTTGAATTCCCAGGTCTGATTTTTTTTAAAAAAAAACAACAACACACCCAGTCTCTAGCCCTCCATTGCATGAAAAGGGTTAGTGACTTTTTTCTTAAATGAAGGCTGGGAATTTAGAGGAACGAGTAGATCATGGCTACAGGTCATTGCAATGTTGTGCTATGGTGCAATAGTAATTATCAATTTTTTAATAAAGCTCTCTGGTAGTGGCAATGAGGAAAAACAGCCTTGACGGGCTGACATAAGGAAAATGGCACTAGTGTAGGCTGGACCTTTGAAAATACCCCCCTTCCCATCCAGACGGCAGGCGACTGTGCTTGGACTGTGTCCTTTCTGTAAAGACTGTGACTAACCCAACTAGAGAGAATATGCTGAGGATGGCAAAAGCCTAGACAGTGGCTGGTTAGAGGGCCGTGTCATGTTTCTGTTCCCCAAAAAACTCCTGGTACAGTTTGGGAGCCAATGCAGAGAAAAACCATTCAAGTGGATGCAGCCCTACTTGTTCACATTGTGGAACAGGGAGCAGAGTGAAAAATTCCACACAGGATGCGTTGCCTAATATAACTAGGGATCAGAAAAGGGAGGGATTTGATATGCCAGAGGCGGTTTTCAATCCTCAGCCTGGGGCTACAGAGAACACAGGAAGTTCTCGCGCCTCCCTTCCCAGGCCTCCAGCGGCAGAGTGGATGAAGGGGAGAGAAGTATGGTGATGGGCATTAGTCTCAGAGGTTTTGGTAGGGCTGCCAAGTGGGGGTGGGTGGCGGGTAAACCCCCGCTTCGGAGGCCCGATTTCCACTGCCGCGGAATCGGGCCCCGGGGGGAACTCCGCCCCCCGAAGCACAGCGTGGCTGTGTCACCAGAGGTGACGCAACCACGTCAATCACGTTGGGGGTGTGGCCCCGATCGTCGGAGGGAAAACTCTATGGTTCTCCCTCCGACGATCGGGGCCACGCCTTCAACGTGATCGACGTCGCGCGTCACTTCTGGTGACGTGCTGGCGGCGCGTGCGCGCACATCGAGGGACAGCTTCCGGAGCCCGCTGAGGCTCCCCCACCGGTAAGACAAATTCACTTGGCAACCCTAGGTTTTGGAGGACAAGTCCTGGCAGTGGATGTTTGTTAATGCAGCCTGAGCTTGCAAAGCAATACCTTTTAATTTTAGTAACACGAGCAAAATAAGTTTGGTGGTCATAAAAGATTTACGAGCGACTGGCAAGAGAAAGGCCGGCTTGCTTTATATGCGGCGATTTTACCGTCAGGAGAAGAAAAGAGGAAAAAATAATGGGCTTGGCTGGGGTTTCCTTTGTGTTCGAACAGCGACTCTGGATTTATTGCGCTGAGGGCAGGCATCTGGCATCATTATAGTCGGCATTGTTCACGGCATGGTGTTGCTGCACACCTTGCTGGATGCTCTCCTCGTTTGACTGCTGGCTCCTTCCAGCAACATGCCAGGGTGCCCGAGGCTCTTTGTTCTCTGCATGAGGAGTAATCCTTCATCAAACGTTCCCTAGTCACTGTGGAATGGCGCCTGTTTAAACTGGAAGGAGTGGCTCAGACCGAGAGGAGGCAATGAGCTTGCCACACGGCAGGGATTTCACACCTGTCGTTTCGTGGGCGTCTATACTGCTGAAACGAGGCCATTTTTTCGGTCAGACAGCCTTGTGCCGTGGAGAGGCTGCGGTATTTGCCCAAGTGGTAAGGCTCTTCGATGTGGTCAGATGGCTTCTGTGTTGCCATTCCCCCAAAGGGGGACCCACAAGAATCTGAGGGAAATTCAGTTTTCCATGCTCGCTTTCCCCCCCTTCTGGGTCACCACCACCTCCCTTGCTTCCTCAGCACTGTTGTATCCTCCTCTTTGCCCTGGCCCGGGGTCATTTCCTGCAGGAGCGCACAGGAGTGGAGCTCCGGCAGTAAAGAGCCCGGGGGGCAGGCACATGCAACAAGCCCCACCACCCCCTGCTCCCAGCAGCTCTCAGTCAGAGCAGGAAGCAGCCAAGTAAGCTTAGAGATGTAAAATTTCCGGAAATGTTGAAGCTTGGAAAAAAACCCGGGTTTTTTCCAGGTTTTTTTGGAAAAAAACAGAAATTTTCGGAAAAATGGAAAAAAATGCTACATTAGCATTTCTTTTGTCTTTTCTAGTTTGAAACTCATCCTGTTACTTTAGGAACATAAAATATGACTATGGACATTTTTACTTGGCATAAAATTATCACAACTAGCATATTAAAAATATAGTGTATCCAAACAGTTATTACAAACAGAATACCACATGCAAAAACAAAACTCTAACCTTTTTCTTGTCTCGTGACAATAGCACCTCCTAAAGGAAGAAATGCATCTTGTTCTTGCATTGGAGAGTTCAGTTTGTAACCTAGGACTTGCCTGTCCTCAGTGCACAGAAATTAGATCAATCTGATACCATATATATATATATTTTAGAAATGATTTGGAAAATATTTGAACACCTTGTCTTAAAATATTTTATCCATCATGTTAAAATAAAATGTTCCATAATCAATTTTTTTTCTTTTCTTTTTTCAATTTTTCCAATTTTTCAGAAAAAAACAAAAAAGGCTTCAGGAAAAAAATGGAAAAAAACCGTTTTTTTCCAAATTTTTCCGGGCCTTCACATCTCTAGGTAAGCTGCAGAACCCCCCCCCCACCCCCCCCGGCCAAAACAGCCCACGGGCCCCCT